AAAAAAAAAAAAAAAAGTTAATTGTAAATCTTCCTCTTAGTCTTTCCCCAAACAGACCTGCGGTGATTACACAGGGTGACTGTGCATTTGGAATGGGAAATAACCAGATTTTCAGGAATTACTGAACCTTGGCTCCAAAATGATGCTAATTCCTGTGGAACCAAAATGTCACTGTGTTCCATTGTCAGAGTAGGGGCTTATGGAAGTCAATGATCTATGGAGTTTTGGCCTGGCTCCATCTCACAGCACGCCCAGTGGTTCTCAGAACTTATCCCATCATTATTTCCCCAGTTTCAGAATGCATAGGTGGGTATACATTGCAGCTTAGATATACTCAGCAGATATCTGAGTAGATGTACTCAGCAGCTGGTAGGCTCCCTATATTGGTCCTCTGATCCACGGAATGAATGAAGGCTATCGTGGTAGCAAAGGCCAAGTGGAAGCCACTAGAACTGTGTCTACATACTAAAATAGTAAACAAAAAACAACATCACATTTCTGGAAGAGATTAATGTCACCAACAAGGTCTTGAAAGATAGAGGTGGTAATTTCTACCATATCCCTACTCAAATCACCTGTTTGCCTGTCAGAAAACTGATGGACATTGGAGAATAGCAATGGATTATCCAAAGCTTGGTGACTCCAATTGCAGCTGCTGTTCCAGATAAGGAAATCAACACATCCCAAGGCACTTGGTTTGCTATTAAACTGATGAATGCTTTTTATTCTGTACCTTTTAGAAAAGACTACCACATGCAATTTTCTTTTAGTTGACAGAACCACAATACACCTTCACCACACTACCTCGAAGCTCTATAAATTCTCTACCTTCTGCCATAATCTAGTCTCCAAGGACATTTGATGGCCTTTGTGCTCCACATGAACGTAAGTTGGTGCTACTTCTCTTTTTTTTCTTTTTCGAGACAGAGTCTTGCTCTGTTCCCCAGGCTAGAGTGCCGTGGCATCAACCTAGCTCACAGCAACCTCAAACTCCTGGGTTCAAGTGATTCTCTTGCCTCAGCCTCCCGAGTAGCTGGGACTAC